AAAGATAAAAAACTGATTTAATTATTTAATTAATAATTACCGAGAAATAAATAAAAAAAAACAGTTTTAATTAATAATTATGATTTTAACTGGCTACTTCTATATAATTGAAAATTATTTAAATCAATTTTAATTAATAAAATAATTTTAAAAATTCTTTCTTTTCATAAAACTTGTTTTAAAAGAAAAATTTTACTCTGCCATCAAAAGGGAATTTTAATAAAAATAATAAAATGACATTTCAATATTAATTAAAGTATTCGTGTTATTCTGATTTTTTGTTTGAAAATATATATTCCTGTAAAAAAATAAAAGTAATATTACCTTAATAATTCACTCTCCGATACAGTTACTTTTTATATAAAACTAATTAAATAAATGTAATATTGTTATGATGTAACCAATTGGAAAATTTCATATTTTTCACAGTCCTTTTGTATAAGTCACTTCATAAAACATAAAAAAAGAAGAATTGTTTTTTTTTTTACTAAAAATTAATTATATTTTCATCAATAAATGTCATCGTTAAAATACAAAATCATATATATATAAATCATAAAATATAAAATTATTTTTTAACGATGACATAAAAATAAAAAATTGATAAAAAAAAATTTATCCATCGAGAAAAAGGGATAAAATATAAACAAAATACTTTATATTTAATAAAAAAATAATTTAAATATTTTTTTAAATAAATAAATAATAATTAAAATATTACTTTTGTTATAGTCTACCTGGAAAAATAATTCATTTTTTAAAAAATAATTAAATATTTTGAATTACCTTTTTTTTTAGTTATAAAATTGATAAATAAATAAATAATAATTAAAATATAACTTTCGTTATAGTCTACCTGGAAAAATAATTCATTTTTTAAAAAATAATTAAATATTTTGAATTACCTTTTTTTTTTTAGTTATAAAATTGTAAACTTACGAAAATGAATTTTGTGATAATTAATAGAGACATAAAATGCATAAAAATGGTAATTTGAGTTCAAATCTATAATAAACGTCGTGGGGCTTTTATATACATTTGGAATATTTATATATCTAGGCGCCCTTAATGTTGAACGGCCATTACTCCCTATAGTCACCCTATTTTTTCAAGGACGATAAATTTAGAAAACCCCTAATGTTGGAGAGCTTATAATTATAGTCTAGAATGTGTAGAAAGAGCTTACAAATCCTCAAGCTTTTATTTATTGTAATAGTCTAAATTCTGTTCTTTATTCTCATTCCAAAAAAAAAAACTAATTTTGTTATTTTTTTTTTCAAAAAGAAACAATTTTTGCCATTGGAAAAAAGATTTATGTCAATATTTTTGATTTTTTTTCTCTTCTTTTCACATCGAACTAGAAATTCATCTTTAACGGGATATTTTATTTGAGACGAAGAGAGAATTTTTTTTTTTACAATTGGAAAAAAATATATATATACTATTTGATTTGAAGCTCAATATTATTTTGCTATACTTGAAAAATAAATTCTGTCTGGCTAAAACTTGTTTTTACTGTACTTAAAAGATGGATTTGTTTGACTTTATAAAAATATTTGTTGTATTTTTAAAAATTTTTTTATTTATTTTATTTTATTTATTTAATTAATATACGGGACTGAATGTCCCTCAAAAAAATTATTAATTGATTAACAAAATATTTTATAAAGTCCAAAAAATGAAAGACAATAAGAATTTTTTTTTTAAATATAATCTTAAAAAAAATTACTTTTACGCAATGTTATTCAGAGAATCGTCACCTAGACAAATCTTTCATTTCTATTTAAATTAGAAGTTACGATGAATTTTGCACCGCGTACATTATTCACGGTTTCTTTAGTATAATATTTTCACTCCCTAAAAAAAAATGAAAGATCCAATTTCTATTTAAATTACAAAATTTTTTTTTTGCCTGAAAAAAATGGGGAAAAAAGTATATAAATATATTTAAAAAATAAATATAAGGAAAAATTATAAATAAATTTGGTAAAAAAAACAATTTATGATAAAAATTATATTTTTTTGAATTTTTTATATATAGTTTTCAACTTAGCATTAAATTTCATCAAAAAAGAAATCAATGAGCGGAAAAAGTTTTCTATAATGAAAATAGACAGAGTGCAGGTCAAACAAGATAAAAAATGAATGGAAATGGATTGAGCATTTTTGTCCCAGTAGATTTGGATTCTGTATTTCTGCAAAATATCCTTTTTTTTTCCCCCTCTCCCTTTCTCAACATGGAATTAAATTCTCTATAACGCGTCGCAGTATTTTTTTTTTTCTCTCTTTTTCTTTTAAAACTACTTTTATCCAATCTTTACGACTATCTTATTCTATTCCGTATAGTGTTATTCGATTTTTTTTCAATTTGACTATAGAGTCTCTTATCTATTTTATTTATCTTGTTAAGAATATTGTTCTCCTTTTTTTTTTTTTTTTATTATATATTCACCATGTTAATAGAATTTCCGTTTTTATTTTCCTCTATAGAAAAAATAATCTTAATTAACAATAAAAAAAAAAAACTTATTTTTCAAAATTAATTTTCAGTTATTAAAATTAAATAGAGAAAAATTATTTTAATTTTTTAATTTTTAAATTATGTTTCAATTTAATTAATAAATAAATAAAAAAAAAATAATTTTCTACGTTTTTTCATTCTTATTTTTCTAAAAGTGTTATTTGAGAAAAAAAAAATTAGTTTTGTGAAAAAAAGATTCTTTACCAGTTTTTAAAGTTTTTAATATAGTCTGGCAATATTAAACGATCAACATTCTTATATATATGTAGAGAGAGATAGGGTCGAGACGAACGGCCAGAAACTTTTTACCCATACTCAAACAATCGTGGAAAGTTAAACAAGATGCGTATTACTCTCTTGAAAATTCAGTGTGGCAACGAAAAACGATTACGGTTTTCAAGATTTATGTATATATATATATATATATATATAAAAAAAAAATTCAGTAGTACCAACACTTAACTCTGATTGCATCTCTTTGTATCTTCATCATTTTCTATATATATATAAGGGAATAAAATAGGAAAGTCAATGTCCCTCCATATTTCTTTAAATTGGTCCATGCCTCATCAAACTTGAGATTCATTTTTCAGGATTTTTATATTTCTCCCATTTCTACTCAATGGTTCTTGTTCGATATTACTTTATATTGGAAACTATTTTACGTCAAAAGCATCATTTCTTCTTTTTTTTTCAATAAATTTTTTTTTTAATCTCAAAAAATTATATTTTTCAATTTTTATCATTTTCTAAAATTTTGTTAAAAAATTAATTAGAAATAAAAAATAATATAAATAAATAATTAAATTAAATAACAATTAATCAAATCAAATAACAATAAATTAAATAATATAATAATTAAATAATTAAATAATTAAATAATATAACAATTAATCAAATCAAATAATAATAATTTTTTTTTAAATCTCAAAAAATTATATTTTTCAATTTTTATCATTTTCTAAAATTTTGTTAAAAAATTAATTAGAAATAAAAAATAAAATAAATAATAATTAAATTATATAACAATTAATCAAATCAAATAACAATAAATTAAATAATATAATAATTAAATAATTAAATAATATAGGTAACAATTAATCAAATCAAATAATAATAATTTTTTTTTAATCTCAAAAAATTATATTTTTCCATTTTTATCATTTTCTAAAATTTTGTTAAAAAATTAATTAGAAATAAAAAATAAAATAATTAATAATTAAATTAAATAACAATTAATCAAATCAAATAATAATAATTTTTATTTATATATTATTATTATTTAATTTATTTAATAATAATAATAATTTGCCCGTATATTTTCAATAAATAAATAAATAATAAAGAATTAAATACAATAATAAATAATCAAATAAAATAATAATAAAATAACAAAAAATAATTAAATAAATAATAAAATTTTTATTCTTTTTTAAATACAATTTCGGAATTGGTTTCTTGAAATTTTTTTTTTTATAAAAAACAACGCAATATTCAATTTCGCGTTTAATTTTGCTAGTTAAATAAATAATATTAAATAAATAAAATAATAAATAATCAAATAAACTAATAATAAAATAACAAATGATCAAATCAAATAACAAATAATCAAATAAAATAACAAAAAAAAATAATTAAATAAATAAAAATATAAATTAATTTTTTACACCTTGTCATCGTATTTCGCATTTCAAAAAAAAAAAAAAAGAAACGGTGTTAAAATTTAAATTAGATTTTTTCTTTTTTTCATCAATATAAAAATATGAAGTTGGCGGTTTGAAAAGAATTTTTTTTTTAAAAACCACTTAAATTTTAAACAAAAGCAACAACTGCGACGACTGCAGGGCTAAACCACCCTTTAGTAATCTTAACGGAAAACGTTAAACGTTCACATTCGCTGTCTGCAGCTGACATTTAATTATGCGGATACTGAAATTTGACTAGATTTCAAATAAAATTAATAACACATTCTTTGTGAGAAAAAAAAAAAAAAAAAAAAAAAACTATATTTTTAATAACTTCTTCACAATTTATAATTTATATTTATTCAAAATTATTTTCATTTTCTTTATTCACACATTAACGAGCAATTTAATTACAAAATTTAATTATACCTTTTTAATTATACCTTTCATTTTTTATTATTTAAAAATTAAATATTTAATTTAAATATTTACTTTGTATATTCATTGTATAATTTTTATATTATATATAATTAAATTAATTATTAATTCATATTTACCATTCAATTTTATTTTTTTTGTAAATTTAATTTTATTTATTTATAGGTAAAATTAATCATTTGAATGAAATAAACTTTATAATTAAAAGAATAAAGAAAGAAATAATATACAAAATTCGAAAAAAAATAATCAAAGAATTAATTTAAGTAAATATAGCATTAATTATAATTAATGTTTAATTAAATTAATTATTTAAAATTGATTTTTTCCCGCACTATTTTAAAGCAGGCGCAGCAGACGTACATTTAATTGAGCACGCGCAGTAAACTTGTTCCGACGGCAACATAACCTAAAAATTACATATATACGTAATTTGTTTACGTATTTTGTTTACATTGACATTTTTATGACATAATGAAATAATGATGGCGGGAAATTAATAAGAATGGACTGGAAATATTCCATTCTCATCATATTCTGGAATGTGTTTTTCTAAAATTATTTTCATCCATAAACTAATTTTTTAAAATGAAGAAAATCACAGCAAAAACATCCAAACAAAAGGTTAGTGATATTTGTTTATAAAAATAAAATACAAACTTTTTTTTTTTTCTTTAGAAATGAAAACAAAAACAATTTCAACAAGTTTATGTTTATCATAATATTGTCATTTACGTTTAATGACTCATTGTTGAATTATATTAATTTTCAAGGCAATAATTTTCTGTCAATATTCAGTATAAAATTTCATTGATAGTGTTTTGAACGTTTTTATTGTGAAAATTCTTTTTTGAAGCAAAAAATTGTTATGTTTCAGGCTATTGAAAAAGATAATGCAAAAAATAAAAGGATATCTTCTTTTTTTATAAAAAAACCTTCTGATTTAACAAATAATAAAAATAAATTCGAAGCGAATTCAATTGAAAAGAATGATTCGCAAACTAAGAGAAAAATTGATGAATTAGAGGAGAAATTAAATTCGGAGCATTTGTTGAAACAGAGAAAAATTGAGAATAATGAATCAATTGACAGAAAAATACAAGAGAAAAAAATTAGCCATCATTCTCAAAATGAAGGGAAATGTCATTTGGAAAAAAAAGAAAAAAATTTAAAAATTCATTCACCAAAAAAATTGAAAATTACAAATAATTCCACTGAATGTAAAAATAATTCTACATCTATAATTGATTTACCATCAAATAATATATTAAAAGAGAAAATTATTTCCAAAGAAGATTCTGGTATTATTATTTCAAAATCATCATCAATTGAGGAGAATTTAAATGAAATATTTCCCGACCTATTAAGTCGTAAAACTATTACAAATGATGTAAATAAAGAAAATAAAACAAAATTAGTTGTCGATAAAATAATACATGAATTTGATTCATTTGATTTGGAAAATGATTTTTTTGATGATATTTTTATTGAAGATTTTGTGGAAAATAATCTCGATCTTATGGAATTGAAACGTTGCATTGTATTGAATGTCACAAAAAGTGGAAGATTTTTAAATTTATCATTAAAGGATTCCATTTTGGAGGAAACAGCTTCTGTTAAATGTTGCGATTATTGGTAAATTAATTTGAAAAATTATAAAACAAAAATTAATTCAATTTTTCTTGACTAATAAAAGAATTTCTATGTTAATAGGGCAAATGTGGAAATTGAAAAAGGTCAAACAATTGTGATACAAGCTTTAAAAAATGGCGACGAATGGATAGTAAACAATAATAATGGACTTTTAGTAATTAATCCGGATATATTAATTTCCGGTACTTCTGTAGTTGGTGGACTATTTTGCAATAGACAAAGTATTTTAAAGGAAAAATTCCGTGGATTTGAGTCATTGCCATTATTTGAAAATAATGCTACTTACATGACAGTGGGACTACTCGTTCATCAAATTCTACAACAGGTATTTATTAATTAATTAATTAATTAATTAATTAAAAGTGCCGTTAAAATGTTTATTTTTAATTTTAGACACTCGAGTCAAAAGTTGAGACACTTGCCGAGATTATGGAAATTTATGAGAAAATAATTTCAGCATTTGATGCTGTGAGTTTAATGTATCAATGTAATATGACAACTAAACAATGTCGAGAGAGTGTTGAACCGTATATGCTGCAAATTTACAATTTCATTCAACGTTACATGAAAGGTAAGGTTTTTTAAAAAGTGAATTTAATCATTTAAAAATTAATAATAATTTTTTTTTTCAGGAGTCACTCAACCAGTAACGGATAAAAATTTCGAAGGTCAAGTCGATACAATTCGCGATATTGAGGAGAATATTTGGCTTCCAAAATTGGGATTGAAAGGAAAAATTGATGTCTCCGTCGAGGTGAAAATCAATTCAAAGCGGAAAATTATGCCACTTGAGTTGAAAACAGGAAAGACATCCTTTTCTCCCGAGCATAAGGGTCAAGTGATTCTTTATACAATGATGATGTCTATGATAGGTCAACAAGTGGACAGTGGACTTCTTCTCTATCTAAAGTAAATTTTCTCAGCAATTTAATTATTTCAAATTATATTATTTATATAAATATAAATTTTTTTTTTCAGAGAAAATGAAATGAAAGAAATAAAAGGCAGTCATCATGAGAAAAGGGATTTATTAATGCTCCGAAATACATTGTCCCTTTATCTTGCAAAAAAATCCAGTATAAATGTGAATAATTTCAATGATATTAAAGAATTATTATTGGACTTGCCTGAGCCAATTAATCATCGTAATGCATGTGGAAAATGTTCTGTTAATCATTTATGTTCAATGTATCTTGTACATGATGAAACGTTTCGTTTAAAAGACAGTTCGCATCCATTGAAAGAAATAAGTGAAAAATTATTAAATCATTTGAAACCAGAACATATTCATTATGTGATGAAATGGGTAAAACTACATCAAATTGAAGAAGAAGCCAATACCAATTATTTATCGATGAAGGACATTTGGACAATGGAGCCCTTAAATAGGTAGATAATAGAAAAAAAATATATATTTAATATAAAACGAAATTTTTTGAATAAAATTCACAAATATTAATTTATTTTATTAATAATTAAAAGAGAGAAGAAAGGTACGTGTATATGTAATTTAAAAACGGTGCATGTCGAGAAAATAGAGGATCACTATAAACATATTTTCAAAAGAAATGAAGAACTGAAGGATGCACTCAACGATTTCACTATCTCGGAAATACACGAGGGTGATTATGTGATTATTAATACTTCAAAAAGAGTTAATATTGCCGCTGGATTTATTTGCGAAATAAATCGCGAGTCAATTACAATTTCTCTCGACAGGTTAGTTGTGAAAAAAAAACTGTTTTCTTTTTAAAAAAATTTAAAATGTTTTTTTTTTGTATAATTTATATAACTTTTTTTTTCAGAAATCTCTCGTTACGCTATCCAAATTTAATTTTTCACGTTGATAAATATTTTTCCGCTAATATTTCTCACTATAATCGCGCGGCCGTTAGTGGACTTTTGATTGATGATGAACTCTGCAGCCGATTGAGAAGCATTGTCATTGAAAAGTAATTGAATTCATTTTTCATGATTTTTTTTATTTTAAAAATTGTTTCGAAGATTTTTCTATTTTTTTTGTTTTTTTTTTTGTTCAGGAAACCGGCGACATTCAAGACGCATTTGCCGAGAAAAATTGCGCCAATCAGTGCGCCAATATTGGGACGATTGAATAAACAGCAGCAACGGGGAATTTTTAAAATTTTAACAGCAAAAGAATATGTATTATTAAAGGGTTTTCCGGGTACAGGAAAAACAAGAACTTTAATTGCCCTCGTTGAATTATTGGTAAAAATTGGCAAATCTGTTCTTATTACAGCAAATACACATAGTGCAGTTGATAATATTTTAATTGGTTTAATGGAGAAAAAAATTGATTTTTTGAGATTAGGTTCAAGTGCAAAAATTCATCCCTCATTATCTGAATATAGTGAAGATGTGCTTACAGCACAATGTACTACACCGGAGAATTTACGTGACGCCTATAACAGTAAAGTGAGATTAAAAAAAAATTATTTTCTTAATTAAAAATTGATTTAAATTTAAATTAATTAAATTGAAATTAATTAATTAATTATATCTGAACAGAAAGTCGTTGGCGTGACTTGTCTTGGTGCGTATCATAGACTTTTCGAATCTCGAAAATTCGACATGTGCCTCGTCGATGAAAGCACGCAAGCTCAGCAATGTGCGGTATTGAAGCCACTTTACAATTCAGCGAAATTTGTTCTTGTAGGCGATCCCGAACAATTACCTCCAATTGCCAAAAGTCCAATTGCAAGGTAAATTGCATTTTTTCTTTTTCACTGAGAAAAATTTTCTTAAAAAAAAGAAATTTTTGGAAATAAATGAAAACTAAAATTTTTTTTTTTTTAAATTAATAGACAACTTGGCTTCAATCAATCGCTATTTGAAAGACTCGATAGTGAAAATAATACTGTTGTTTTATTTGTTCAATATCGAATGAATAAAGAAATAATGAAATTATCAAATAAAATAACATATAAAGATCAATTGGAAGTTGGCAATGAAAATGTGGCGAATGCAACATTATGTTTTAAAAGCAATCAGGTATAAATAACAAATGTTTTTTAAAAATTTCATTTCATTAATTGAAAAAATTTTTGATTTTTAAAAAATAAATTTACAGATTTCACACATTTGGTGGATTCAAGCAGCGTTGTCTGTAAAAATCGAAAATTCTGTAATTTTACTTAATACATTTATATCGAAAGATTGTGAGGAAAAATTCAAAAATCTCACACATGACAATAAATTATACAAAAATCTACTCGAAGCAGCAATTGTTGAAAATCTCGTCAATACACTTTTGAAGGTAAATTTTAATTTTTTAACGAATAAAATAAATAAAGACAACAATTTTAAGAATTAAGAAGGAAATTTCGCAAATACTAAGGTTATTTGTTTCTTTTTTTTCGGTACTTTTTAGGCGGGACTAAATAGTGAAGATATTGGAGTCATTGCACCATTTCGGGCGCAGGTGAATTTACTAGGAAAAGCTGTTTCAAAGGATGTCGAAGTAAACACTGTAGATCAGTATCAAGGACGTGAAAAGAACATTATCATTTACTCGTGTACTGAGAGCTCACCTCAGGGCTGTGCAAATACAAGGGTAAATATTCTAGTGCGATAGCGAATTTACTTTCAAACGACAAAGCGAGCGCTTGCGCAAATTAATTACGCTTCGCAAAGTTTGCATCCCTTTTCGCTATATACATATATATATATATATATATATTCTATTAACGAAAGTATTTTCTCTATTCGCAGGCATTTCATATTCTCAACGATCAAAACCGACTTACTGTCGCTATAACACGAGCAAAACAAAAACTTATTATAATTGGCGATTGTAATATTTTAAAAACATATTCACCATTTGAAAAACTTGTTCGTTTTGTCAGACAAGAAAATATCATCGATTTATTTACATCAACGGAGTCATTCGATTGGAATCAAATGATTAATTCTTTCAAAAGTAAATTTAGTTTTTAGAAGAAATTTATTTTTATATTTATACTTTTGATTTTCTCTTTTTTTTCATGAAAGAATGAGATTTTTTTTTTTACAAAAATTTCTTTATTGAATGGTAATTATTATACATGAATTTTGTTTGTTTTTTTTTTGTAAAATATTATTTAACGTGTGTATTTGTCATTTTATTTATATTTTGCATTTTTTTTTTGTATATTTGTGCAAACATTGAATGTCTGTGTTTATATTATATTATATATAATGAAAAAAAGTGATTTTTGACGAATAAATATGATAAATATTATTTTTACTGCTATTTATTACGTCACTTTTTTTTAAAAATTATTTTTTCTTTTTAATTATCTTCTTTCACAATCATGTACATAAAATTCCCATGTGAACACTTCATTAAAATACTAATTCATTAATAACTTTTTCTATTTCACGTTTGCCGCAGTCCCCGAAGAATTTGCATTCATTTAGTGAATGGCTAACGGAGCTTCGAAATAATTCGCAAAGTTTCAATAAACAAGGACTCGGAAATGTTTCCCCAGCAAAAGTTACAGTGTTCATATATATATTGAGAAGCAAACTTTGTGGCCTCTAAAACTTTTCGACGAAAAGCATTTCCCCTCTGGTGTTTATTGGAACTTCCCTTCTCGTGGGTTTATTATCCTGAAGCTGTTTTGCAAAATCTCGCTTATCTTTCAAAGAAGCATCCATTAATGATGACAACATTGATTTTGTACATAAATTATTAATCATTGATATTGATTTTTTTTTTAATTTTATCATTGAAAGATAAGTTTAAATTTCAATTTGTTCAGATTAATTAATCAATAACTTATTTAATACTATGGAAAACGAAACAAACATATAAAGGGAAAGACTTGAAATTTATGATTAACATTATTATAGATTATAAAATAAAGAGCTTAATTTTAAATTCTTATGAATTACGGTTAAAGAAACATATTTTTTTATATACAATTTAACTTCGTTCTAATTTAACGAACAGTATTTGCTATTAGCATTTAAGAGTATAAAATTCGTAATAATTGATTGAGTGAAACGGCAGAATTTTTTTTTTTTACACTTTAAACTCAAGCGCTGTCACGTTTCAACTCAAACATTTCGAGTATAATTGTTACGATTGGAATTGCGTAATACTATTTTGTATACTTTTCACGTAACGATGTGTAAAAGTATATTTATTAAAAAAAAAAAAAGCTTCAGTCTATTAAAAATTATAAACGAAAAACTTAGATCTGAGGCTAATGAAGAATTTTCAAATATCTCCTAAATCTAAAAAGTCTTTTTCAAAATTTCCTTTAAAAATTAATTTTAATAAATTATTCCTTCTTTTTCAAAAATATTAAATTTTTCTCATGCAAAAGGAAATTGAAAAAAAATTTTTTTTTAAATTAGTACTAAAAAAAATCAATATTTAACTCAAAATAATCGAAATATTAAAAATTATCAGCCGTTTATAAATAATAATTTTTCAATTATAATTGAATAAAAAAAAAATCAAATATTTTTTACAACACATAAAAGTGTTATGATAAAAAAAAATCGCATTTGATAATTTAAGTAGACAAAAAAATACAAAATTAGTATTTTTGAAAGTGAAAAAATAATAATTAATAAATGGAAAATTTTTTTTTGGAAGAAAATGATGTTTTAAAATTATTAGAAGATGATTTTTTTATATGAGAAGATAAAATGAGTGTTTTTTTTTTTTTGAAAACTTTTCTTATCAGAGAGATGAAACTATTATACACATAGAAAAGTTTTCAATGTTTATGAGAAAAAGAAAGAGAGAGAGAGAGAGAGTTGATTGTGTCACTCTCTAGTCTGTGAAGATTTTGCGCGAACGAACGCATTAGTTGGTACTGCTGTTTCTGCTGCGGGGCCAGTTGAGGGAAGTCTTTATGGAGTTACGCCTGAGCTTGGAGTAGCTGTAGGGATTGCGGTTGACGAGGCAACGGAAGTGGTTAAGTTAGGAGGTGCATACGGACTTCCACAAAGTTGGTCTGCTATACGGCCACCCTCTCGAAGACCACTTAAAAATGCTCCGTGCACTGTTGCTGGATAATTGCGTATCGTGTGTTCGCCTGACAAAACAAATAAAAGAAAAAAAAAAAAAAAAAAAACAAACAAACACATTTTTATTAGTCAAATAACAAAAGGAAGGGACCATTTTGTGGCTAAATGCCAGAACGGCTCTAGACGAATTCTCAGAAAATTATTATATTCAATATCACACACGCAAAAACCAAAAATTTACCTTTTGTATTATAAGAAAAAAAAAATTTGTTTCAATTATTTAATTTGTAAAATATTTAATTTTTTTGAAAAGGCTCTTTTTAAAAAGTATAATTTTTTTTTTCAAAAGGTACAAAAATATAACAATATTTTGTCAAAAAAAATAAAATAAAATAACTCCCTTATTTTTCGCTATTCTTCTCTCTGATGTTTATTTCAACTTTTATATTTAGAAGAGAAGACTCTCGACAAGTTTTTTTTATGACTTTCTTTAACATCACCAGTATATATGAAAGAATATTACTTTGCAAGAAGTATTACAGCCATTAAAAAAAAAAATGAAAACGTTTCATAAAAATATGTTTTCTGTAATATAAAAAAAAAGAGTTTAAAATTTTGCAAATAATTTTTTAAATACATGTAAATTGGGATTAAAAAAAAATTTTTTTATAGTATTTGAAAAGAAGAGGAACTCACCGGCGAAAAACAAACGTGGCTGGGGTGGAGGTGCTCCTGGCGGTTGATTGGGCGGTGGTGAGGGAGTCACGGGTGCAGCCAGAAGGTCGTAGTCACTTCCGGAACTTCCAACGGCTACAAAACTATAAGATCCACGAGCCCAGGGATCTGCACGCCACCTTGTAACAACACTCTCACGGGGCTGAGGCACAACTTGGTTTCCAAAAATACCCTAAATTTTTCGCAATTAAAAATTTTTTTTTAATTAAAATTTTTAATTAAAAAGTAAAAAAAAAAATTACCAACTAACGCTTATTTCTAAAAATAAATTATATTCATTATGAAAAATTTTTTTTTACAAGTTAAAAAAATAAAAATTATCTGACAATATTTGAAATTGATTTGATGGAAAAAAAAAAATTCAATCTCTGAACACTTAATTGAAAGGAATTCAATATTTGAATGCTTCTGGTATGGCTATTATATAAAAATGATAAATGATAGTTTACCTTGAGTACAGCAATACAACGGCCAATGATGACGTCGTCACTAACATTTTCCATAACACAAGCAGCTTCACCAGCGACCAGCGCCAGAAGAACCGGCGCTTTATACAAATTCCAAAATAAAAAAAGTTCGCCACGAGACGCCGTTGTACTTCCAACATGACCGAACAAGTTTGCCGTCGGATCCCAAAAAATACGTTCGAAACATAATACCACCTGAAAAACCAGAATTAAAATGAATTTCAAATTTTTATTAATTCCTTTCTCATTCCTCGTTTATTTTTTTTTTTGCATAAATTGAAAAACAAATCACGTTTCATTCGAAATAAATGATTCACCAAGTGTCAAAATAAAAAAAAAAAAAAAAAAAACAACATACTGTTATTTCATTTATAATTTAGAAAAAAAAACTGAATCTCATTTATGCATATATATTTATGATTTAGAATTCTTCAATTCATATAAAAATTAATTTCTTGCCAACGATTTTTATAATGTCTCGATGAAGGGATTTTATTGTAAAAAAAAAAAAAACATTGCCGAATGAAATCGACTTTAAAATTCTTAATGATTGAAGAAAAAAAAAAATGGAAATTGGAAAGATTTGATAACTGAATGCAATTAAAAAGGTAGTTTTGTGTGTGTGTAGATTAAATATAAAAATTTAATCAACGTAAATTTATATTAATTATTTTTAAAAAATAGTTTTTTTTAGAAATATATACATTTTTCAAAAATATTTTCAAAATATTGAAAAATTCAAAAATTTATTCATTACGGTTTTACTTTTGAAAATTGCCAAAAAAAAAATCGAAAATTAAAATTAATAAAAATTTTATAATTCAATTAATTATGAAAATAATTTCAAACCAAAATCAAAAATTAAAAAAAGCAAATAAATTACAACAAGAATAATTAGATAAATTAAAATAGGTAATTTTTAAAAATCATTATGTTTTCAAAATATTGGAAAATGAAAAGAAAAAATTCAATTTAGGTTTTTTTCTTTCAAAAATTACCAATTGCCAAAAAAAAACTAAGAATTAAAATTAATTATAATAATAAATTCAAACGAAAATCAAAATTTAAAAAAGCAAATAAATTACAACAATAATAATTAGATAAATTAAAATAGGTAAATTTTTAAAAATCATATGTTTTCAAAATATTGGAAAATGCCAACAAAAAATTCCTTTTTCTTTCGAAAATTATCAAATGCCAAAAAAAAACCAAGAATTAAAATTAATTAAAATAATAAATTCAAACGAAAATCAAAATTTAAAAAAGCAAATAAATTACAATAATAATAATTAGATAAATTAAAATCGGTAAATTTTTAAAAATCATTATATGTTTTCAAAATATTGGAAAATGCAAAGAAAAAATTCAATTTAGGTTTTTTCTTTCGAAAATTACCAACTGCCAAAAAAAAACCAAGAATTAAAATTAATTATAATAATAAATTCAAACGAAAATCAAAATTTAAAAAAGCAAATAAATTACAACAATAATAATTAGATAAATTAAAATAAGTAAATTTTTAAAAATCATTATATGTTTTCAAAATATTGAAAAATGCAAAAAAAAAATTCAATTTAGGTTTTTTTCTTTCAAAAATTACCAATTGACAAAAAAAAAAAAACTAAGAATTAAAATTAATTATAATAATAAATTCAAACGAAAATCAAAATTTAAAAAAGCAAATAAATTACAACAAGAATAATTAGATAAATTAAAATAGGTAAATTTTTAAAAATCATATGCTTTCAAAATATTGGAAAATGCAAACAAAAAATTCAATTTTCTTTCGAAAATTATCAAATGCCAAAAAAAAACCAAGAATTAAAATTAATAAATTATTAAAAAATAATTTCAAACAAAAAACTAATTAAAAAAAAAAAAATAAATTGCCACAAGTTTAATTCAGATATAAAATGTTTAAAAATAAGAAAATGTATGAAATTTCAATTTTTTTTTTTGTAAAATTAGAGAATAATTGAAATTTCAATTTTTTTTTTCTAAAATTAGAGAATAATTTTAATAATTTTCTCACCTTGTTTAGATTGCCAAAGCCCAGCCTTTGAATGGCTTGTGTTTTCCAATCGGGAAGTGGAGGATTGAAACTTACAGCTGAAGGTGCAGCTTGAGCTTTTAATACACCTAAAGGAAGAGTAACGAGAACAGCGTCAGCTTTATAGACAGTGTGACTATTTTGTGGACTTCTTGCTGGTGCTGCCCAAACTTCAACTCCATTTGCTCCATATCTTACAGCTCTGGCTGCTGTATTTAATCGAATATCCAAACCCTCAGAAAGTGCCACCGGTACACACGAATATCCATTTCGAACTGAAAATCAATAAAATCAAATAAATATCACCAAAAAAACAAATTTTTTTTATACCATTTTTTATTCATTAAATAAAAAAAATAATTCTTTTTTATATAATTAATTAAATAAAAAAAATATTTTTTTTTAAAAATAAAAATTCTTTTTTATATAATTAATTAAATAAAAAAAAAATTTTCAAATAAAAATTCGTTTTTATTTGTTTTAAACAATTTTTAAAAAAAATTAATATTCGTTTTTATTTCAAAAAAACTATTTTTATGAAATAAAAATGTAAAATTTTTATTTTTATCAAATAATTTTTTTTGCAATTAAAATTTGCTGAAAATATCTACTTTTGTGAATTATTCAAATCTTAAGAAAATAAATTAAAAAATGAATTTTTTTTTTTTTTTAATGTATTTACTTTCATAAATACAAAGATAGAGACATCAGAATGTTTAAGGTAAATGAAATTATAAAAAGAGAATGAAAAAAATAAGTAAAGTAAAAATTTTTCTTGAATTCAACGCGCATATTTCGTTAGTTATATAAGTTTATTAATCATGAGTGACCTAAAAGTGAAAAGAAAGGGACACAAGTGATAATATTTTATCATGTCTGTTGGCATGATTTCCGTGTGTCTTATTATTTATCCTTTTTTTTTTTTAAATAAGCAATTTCTCTTTTCCTTCTTGTCTACTCTTCTTCACTTTTTTTTTTCGAGTAAAACTGTGTTCTTCATTTATGTGCGCTTATTCCACTTCTTTTGTTACCTTTAGTACTTTGTGCCAGAGAATGTATAATAAATATTTCATTCCTTTTAGGTCTTTTTTTCCATTATCTGCATCCATTGTTGTTTGTATTTTTACCACATTTTATCTCTCTCTCTCTCTCTCTCTTTTGGTTTTTTTTTTTTTTTTTTGCTGTCGACTCTTCTCCTCACACCCACAATTGAAATGATGAACGGAAAAAAGGCACGAGCCAAGTTTAACGTAATTTTAAACGTTTCATATCGTGACGTTCTCAAACAAGAGTCGTGAAAGTTTTATAGTCTTTCTCTCTCACTCACTTTTTTTTTACTCCCTCTTTATTAGATGCAAGCTGCTTCGGGTTTTTTTTTAAGGAAAAAATTACCCTTCGATCGTGGAACTTTATATTATACTTTTTTTTTCAAAAAATTTATCTCAAAGGGAATAAAAAATTAAAAATACAATACTACTTCGTGTCTCTACGAGGAAAAAAAATGAAAATTCCTTTTCAAAATGATAATGGATTAATTTTTTTTTCCCCTTAAAATAAATATAATTATTTTTTTTATTTAATGCAGAAATGTTAAAAATTTATATTACTTTTAATATTAATCAAATTTAATTTATTTAAAATTAATAAATATTATAATAATAAATTAAATAATTACTATAATAAATAATAAATAATAAATAATAAATAAAAAATTAAAAATCTATTTTTTTTTCTCAAAATGTTTCTTTTTAATTTAGTAAAATAATTAATTATAATTTAAACAACTTTTTTGTTTTATCATCAAAGGAAATTCTCTTAAATGAATATTAGTAGGAAAATCCCTTTATGATAAAAGAATTACTTTTTAAAAAAATATATAATTTGTTGATATCAATATTTTTCATTAACATTTTTTTTTTTTTTTTTTTTTTTCTTTTTTTTCACTTTCTTTTAATCAATACTTGCATTACTTTGAGAAAATGAAATTTTTTCCCTCTATGAAATTTTCTTTTTTTCATTTCTCTACAATGGTTAATCAATATTTCACCAATAAATGCCAATATTGAGAGAAAATAGCCAATATAATTATAATAAATAAAATATGAAAATTAAATTTTACAGATAATTCATGTTCAAACAAGTGACATTTTTGTATTTCATTATATAATCAATGCAATATTTTGCCCTTTCATTATTGAGAAATAAATTATAATTTTTTTTAAAAACATTTAAAATTTCATCATTATAAGCAGTTAATACTTTATGTGTATTAAAATGCGTTAAATTAAAATTTTCTATATCATTGACATTCTCTATTTGTCGTTCATTATTTTTAATATAACTGAGATTTGTCAAAAATGTGAATAAAATACTCGATAAAAAATATTGTAAAATTAATATATAACCAAAAATAATTCTTTGTTTTCATTTTTTTGTTTCATTGTCAATTGTAAAGATCAAAATTATATTTGTAAAATTACAAATGGATTCCAAATTTATGGATTAAATTTTAAGATGAAAAAAATTAGCCAAAAAGTCATTATAAAAAATGACAATTGAAGAATTAAATAAATTGCATGTTTTCCAATTTCATTCATTATTATCAAAATAATGAGAATCAAATACAGGTACAATGACAGAAAGAATATTGTCATTTAAAATTATACTTTTTAAATTATTCCTGTCAATTGCATCTAAGCCAATAAAATTTATTAAAAAATTAATTTCATGATTTTTTATTTTTTTCATTCAATATACCGGGTATTAATCCAAAATCTGTGGTTAAAAAAATATCATAAGTAAAATTTAATTTCTTTGCTAAAGTTAAAAGAATCATTGAATATGGTTCATTGATTTCTCTTCTTTTTGTAATTAAATTTTCCTTAACAAAAAAAAAAAAAAAAAATGGTGTATCATTAAGAATACCAATTCGCATTTTGTAACCATGTAAATTAATTAATTTCTTTGGAAATAATTGAGTGGAATTGAAAAATTTTTCAATATTATAAATTTTTGTAAAAGGATTAAAATTAAATACAACCTTAGAATTTGCCGTGTTTTTATTTACTGAATTTTTCTCATTTATCCGAAGAATAGTGACGTCCAAAAATTGTTGACTCTACAAATTACGAAATAATTTTCGATATGTAAAATTTTCATTTTTTACAAAATGCACAATAAGACATTTGGGACGTGTGGAAATTTTCGACAATTTCATCAGTGATTTTAATAAATTAATCGTCCATTCTTCATATTGATTTTTTGTTTCATCGATAAAGAGAATAAATATTGTTTCTCTAATATTTTTCAACGATGATAATTTATGGAATTTTTTTTCTCTCCAATTAAAATTATTTTTTGAAATTCACATTTATTACTGTAATCGCCCGTTGAATGTTTATGATCATTTGTTCGATTTTTGAATTTTTGTATTTTTCACAATTTGTTGTAATGTCAAATCTTTTTTCTAATAATTTAGTAATTTTAGAGAATTTGCTTTTGAAATTTTTTTAAAAAATAATTGAAAATTGATGAAATTACTGATAATGATAAAATGAGGGGTGATTAAAATTTTAGTCTTTTTTTTAATAGAAAAATGCAAAAAAATTTTGAAAAAAAAAACTATTTTTTTTCTGAGAGTTTTGAAGTTTGTTCGTTGAAATGAAGGAAAGTACTGAAAAAAATTAGAAAAACTGAAAATACAATCAATATAATATTTACATAATTTTTTTTTCCATTTCAAAAGAATTTACATAATTTTTTATTTTTTTATTTTTCCTCACTTTACATTTTTTATTACTAAAGTACAAAATATTAATCTCATACTTTCTATCATAATTGTTTTTTAACTAATGAAAAAAAAAAATGCTTCAAGGAAAAAAAAAGTTCAAAGTTGAAAATTTCAATTTTTTCCAAACGTTCCACATTAATTTTCTAATAAGGTTTTAGTGATGATAAATTATGTAAATTTTTCGATAAAAAAAAAAAAGGGAGGCGCCAATAATCGCGAATCTTCTCAGCACATATATATATATATATATATTGGGGCGAGTTTCACCAAGTGTCTTGACCTTGAAACACTTTCGATAATGCCTAATGAATCGACCATATTGAGGTGGCACGACGGAATGTAAAACGACCATACGAATGACGATCAGATGGGCGGAGGCCATTACTCACGTTGTCCAGAACGACGTCAGCCACACTGGGTGTTGTACATAATTAAACGTCCGCAATATATACGATAGTCATCGGTGACCATCGGGGTATTTTTTTTTTTTTTTTTTTTTCAATTTTTTTTTTTCATATACAGCAAATCATCTTCTTTTTCCCCGATTAGATTTGATTATAGATGTCATTTGTCTCGTCACTTGCGTTATATTATCCTAAATATATATATAATAATATGATCCCAACTTTGCCTATAGCGTGTACCTTGTTAAATCCACAAAAAAAAATTAAATACTATATATATATATATATGCTCACGAAATTTCTTTTCATCATTCATAATTTATATATATATGCGAAAGTATTTGTGTATTTTTTGTTCATAGGTCATTGACACGTTCAAACTAATGATGAAGTATTTTTTTTTTCTTGAGAGAATATATAAGAAGAGGAATGTAATATTTATAATATTATTTATATAATACGAGAATAATAATAATAATTTAACAAAATAAAAAAAAATTATTTTTATTATAATAATAATATACCAAAATAATTATTAAATTAATATAATTTGGATCAATTTGGTACTTTAATGTTAACTGTTTTATTTTTATTATTTTATTGTTATTTTTATAATAATACTGATAATAATAATTATTATTTTTTATTTTTATTATTTTATTGTTATTTTTATAATAATACTGATAATAATAATTATTATTATTATTATCAGTATTATTATAAAAATAACAATAAAATAATAAAAATAAAATAGTTAACATTAAAGTACCAAATTGATCCAAATTATATTAATTTAATAATTATTTTGGTACTAATTTGATAAATTTTAATTAATAAAATAATATTTATTATTAGGGCAATTTAGGCCCTAATTTTTTATTAGGGCGCAATATGTAAGAAAATATCAATTTTATAAATTAAAAGATTATTAAGTTTCGTTTTCTTAAACATTTAAGTGAAAAAAATTTTAGTAACAGTAGTAAAAATACGTTTTAGTCAGACAAATATTTATTTAAATTTGTCTGATTTTTAGCAACAGTAGTATAAGTACGTTTCAGTCAAACAGTCTAATTTTTTTTTT